TTGCAGTTGCATTTGCAGTTGCAGTTGCAGTTGCATTTGCAGTTGCAGTGGCAGTTGCAGTTGCAGTTGCAGTTGCAGTTGCATTACTCGTAGAATCAACGAATGTTTCAATCAAATTAATATACGTCAAATAGGATTATTTATCTTTGTTAAATGATTATTCGTCGTAAGAGTAAATAAAAATGTTACCGTTAGGAGATGATAGGCTCTTATGGTATTAGTTATATTAGAATTAGCGACATAATCTCGAATGATTGTATTTGCGTCTCTTACTTAGCGACGATCCGTCAATGTCAGACGAAAACATGTTACGAGATACCATCATGTTCTTCCCTCGAGATTAGAGAAAGTAAGAATGAAAGAATGAAATAATAAAATAAAGAAATGAAGGAAGAAAGAAGTAGGTTGAAGTTAATCAAGGAAGAAGGAAGCTGGAATTCGATTCGTTTCTAGTCTCGTTAGGTATTTAATAATCTCAAGAATTCTGACGATTAGGACAGTGTTCGTAACATTACACGAGACGTAAGAATAATTTTATATAGATATAGTAGACACAATAAAGTTAGATACGTATATGCAATAAAACTATCCTGACTGTTCTTCTTAACTGCCCTGCACTCGCTTTCTCTAATAATAATGATAATGATAATAATAATAATAATAATAATAATAAGAAGAAGAAGAAGCAGAAGAAGGGATAGAGGGCTGTTTTAATCAGAGGGTCTGCCTGGCTGACGTGATTAACTCGAAGAGTCAGGGAACCCTAAGAACGAAGGTGAGGCAAAACGACAAGAGGGATGCCATTGGAGGATGAGAGGAGGATGCCACTGTCATTTTGGGTGTTTATCATATCAACGGATAGAAGGGCTTCATTTCGTCGCCTCGAATGTGGGATGGGGTTAAATCTTAGATTTTACAGACGATTTTGTACCACCCCTTCTATCATTTTCTTTTTCTTTTCCTTTTCTTTTTTTTTTTGCTATTAAAACGAGAACGCGTTACTCATACCTTTCTCAGTGCCATTACTCACCCATTCGAGCGTAGAAAATATCTAGAGTGGGGCCTTTTTTTATTTTCATTCTAGTCAACGCTTAGAGATAATACCAATATTACGTAATGTTAATTTACTACTGCCATCTTTATCGAGAAGACTATAAATCGTCGGAAGAGAGAGAATGAGATATATAGATGAAATAATTAAGTATTAACTTTATAAGATGGATGATAGGATGGGGTGGGGAGGAATGGGAGGCGGTATAAAAAGAACAAAACAATAGATTAGATTTATTGGAGATAATAATATGGGAACAAAACGAAGAAATATTTCGTTTCTTATTGTAAAATGGCAGTGATTAACAATAGGAAGTTTTTGTTGTACCGAAATAAAATACTCTTTCTGTGTCTTTCATTCTCTTTTTCTTCTCTATCTTTCTCATTACGTTCTCGAGGAACGGTTGAAGATAGTCGGAGGTTCGTTTCGAAACGAATTTTTCGTCCGAGCACCTTCAACATCGAAGAGGGGCTTCCCCCTTCGCGCCTGCAGATAAAGGGAACGCCGGGCTGGCGTCGATGGTGCGGAAGAAACCAGTTTCTTCCGAGTCATCGGAACTTGCCGAGTCACCAGAGATCGAGCTATTGCCCTTGCGGACCACGACTCCTTAAGTAGTATCGAGTACCTCCAACACTTTTACCGTTACGAGTATCGGAATAATTTCTTACGCTTAACTATTCTTTCATCGACATGTTTTTTGTTTGTTCTTTCATTTATCTTCGATTTTTCGCTATCGGATTTTTGTACCTAATTAAGGGATCCATCTATTTCTCTCATCGATCTTTTATTTATCTTTCATAAAAGTACCGAGATAAACGATGTTTACGTTTAACATTGAAATTTAACGAAATTATTTTTTTGCAAATAATCGAACAAGCGTCCTTTTTAAAATTATGAAAGTAGAA